GGTGTTTGCGGCGCATGAGTTGTTCTCCGGCAGGCTTATGGCGGCGGAGGAGCGGCTTTTGCTGCGGAAGAGGCCGCCGGGGGACTTCGGCGGCGGAAGTCCCGGCGATTGTGGGCGGCGCGTGCGTGTGTTCTCCATATTTTTTGTGGAATATTATTTTTAGTTGGACTTTGAAGAAATAAATAAATATATAGTGGGAAAATCGAGAAGTTGATAGCACGTTGAGAGACGCGTGACCACCAAATACAGAATAAAAGTTCTACGTTTTTGGAGTTTGACTTTCCTCTAGTTTTATTTATTTATTTTTTACCCAACATACAATTTGTGGAAGTGTATCTAACTATTTTTAAAAATTATGTTAGCTTCTTCGTAATTTTTTCTTTTATATGTTTATAAGTTTTCTTAGTATCGTGTTTGAATTCTTAATGAAAATTTTAAAAGCAAAAACAAGTGTTTTAAAACTTATTTTTAGTAAAAATTTAGGTTAGATCGCTAGAAAACATCTATCACGTCTTATCGATGACATTTTATCAATCGTATCCAGTTAATTGAAAATGTATGAAAAAAAAAACTAGCGCGGTCCAAACCCACCTAGGAGAAAACTAAAAAATATATGCTACATCTAATAAACTATATCAATGATATAGATATATGATAAACTATATCATTGATAAATCATATCATTACTACAATATATCAGTAATAGACTATATCATTCATAAACGCCTACCACCGATATGGTCTGTTAATAGTAGACAGTCTATTGATATAATATAGTCTATTACTTATATAATCTATTAATGATAGACTTCTATCCACCCATAGACACAAATGAATGATATTCAAAAGTCAACAATAAATTCCATAAAAATGTTTAAATAAGTGTGTACACAGAACTTTTTTAATAATAAAAATATAATCTAAAAATTTATTTAGAAAAAGTGGTATGAGACACTATCATTTAAATACGCCCATCAAGATTAAATGAATGCAATGTTAGAACTATATAAGCTAAAAGATTTTGCCTTTTTATTATATGATTATATTCCATTATAGAATATGCAAGTTTTGGAGTGACAAAACTTTTTATAATTCTTTAATTCTCTCATACATTATTTCTCCCTTCCACTCATTTCCATGATAATTTAAATATTTATTTTAAGAAAATTAAGAAGATTTTGATGCTGGAGAGTAAAGGATAAAACATTTACAAATTAAAAATATATAGATTAATTTAATTTTTAATAAGATATAAATTATATCATAATAATTAATGATTGGTGTGATTTATATATTTTATATTTAGATATATATCATTTCTATCATTATAAAGAAATTGCATATAGATATATAAACCAAAACTAATTTGAGATATTTCATATATTTTTCATTTAAATTATTAATAATAATTATTTTAACCTTATATTTTTACAATTACACTAACTACATCTAATAAAGAATTTATCAATTTGTAATATATAACAAACTTATGGACTTTTTATAAAAGCAGTAAGCAGATACTAATATTATAGGTAGATAAATTACTTTTTTTCAACAAATATAATCAAAATTTAAATTATAATATAAAATAAATTTAAAAAATAGGTAATGAACTACTTAAAAAAAAGTAGATAACATAATATGAAACACCAAAGTTAGATCATTTCATAATGAAAAGTTGGTGAGATATGAATTTAGAGATATAAATTCACTTAAAACAATAAATATAAAGTTTGTTTTAAAAATTCAAAATCTTCTATGATATATCTCTCAAAATATATATTTCCATAGAATAACAGATTTTATTTATTATGAAATCTAAATTGACTTAATTTATGTGCATAAACCCCACTTTTTTAGGCGAACCTGAGCATAGTTAGCACTAATTGGCATCTTCTATTCAAGGTTGAAGGTTCGAACCTCATGCATATGATAGTTTGTTGTATTAAAAAAAAATAGAAAAAAAAAACTACCTTTCCATGCAAGCTACCATACATGTACAAAATCCTTTTCAAGAGGGCTCTAAATTCCCACAAAAAACTAGGAGAAGGTTTCAATATAATTCCAATACGTGTCAAGAAAAAAAGAATATCATACTTATTTGGATCAAATTATCAAAAAAGTATCTAAATTGTAATTCAAAGAGAAAATAGAAAAGAAATAAAGGAATTTTATTTATTTATGAGCCTAAATCCTAACCTAGGTTTGGAGATTAACATGGATTGGAGATTGCAGAGAATTCAATTTCAGAAACTTCATCTTCATCATCTTCATCATAATCATAAGCAGGAGGTGGACGGTTGAGATCAATGGAGTTTTTACCAAATTTTTTAGGAGAAATTTTCTTGAAGAAATGGACCTTCTTGTGCCCTCCAAGTGCCTGTCCAGATTCAAACACTTTGGGGCAAAATAGACATTGAAAAACTTTCTGATGAACACAATCTTCTGTTCTAATCTTGCTGTGGCTCGCCTTGTGCCCTCCCAATGCTTGATACGACCTAAATGACTTGTCGCACGTTTTGCATTTGAATTTCCATATGAAGGAATCCACGTCTTCTCCGTCCTCGTCTTTGCAGGTATAATTACTCTCTTTATCTGATAATTTTTGGGATTTTTCTGTTGTCTGGTCTCTCGACATCATTACAAGACTCAAAGCCGCCGCACACTCTATGGTCGGATCGTGCCGCTTGCGCTTCAGTGACCGTCGTCGTCGTTGCTTCGGAGGCAAATCATCGGTCTCGCTCTCTCGATCGGAGTAGTGAGAATGAATCGAGGTCGGGATCGGCATTGACATTGGCATCGGTATCGGAATTCGCTTGGGATTGGGATGGAGAGGAAGCTTGATCAAGTGGGATCGCATGTGGCCCCCCATAGCTTTGCCATTGGAGAAGCTTTTGCTGCAGATTTTGCACACTCTTTGCTTATCCATGGACCAACAACACATGAGAGGGAAAAATTAATAGAATTAATGACTGAATTTTGTAGGGAAAAGATAAAGAGAGCAAGTAGAGTGTGGGAAATGGGAACTTGAAGTAGGTGATAATTAAGCAGCATTTACTTAACAAAATTCACAAATGAATGTTATATGCATGAAGTAAACAGGATCTTTCATCCTCTAACTTTTTCAAAATTAGAATAATTTTTCTTAAAAAATATCACTTAGTTCCGTTAAATCTCCCAAAACATATCTACTTGACTAAATTATACTTACGAAAATTATACTAAAAAGATAGAAAAAATATGCATTTATAAAAATATCATTATTTTTTCTTTTTTAAAAAAAAGGAAAAAAACTTCTCTCCGGAAGATTCAGGAAGAAGTCCGGTATTCGTACCTGATCCAGTAGTATATAGCTAGATCAGTGGACCACACAAGAATTATACAAAATAATAATTAAAAAAAAAAACACTTGTCTATATACTACTGGACAATGCAGAAATTCAGAAGGAGCTTCCTTTTGAATCTTCCAGAGGGCAGGTTTTTAACAAAACAAAAAAAAAAAAAGTCACTTTGGTTAGTTTTGTTGGATAAATTTGTAATTTATGTCATTTTTGTAAAATTTAGTCCACCTTCTAATAACTGTTTGATATAGATTTGAAATTCAATTTTTAAAATTCAATTTTCAAAATTCTCTCGTACATCTAACTGTATAGAATCGTAGTCACGTTGTTACAATCCTCCGGAATAACTTCTCCTAAATCAATTCAAATTCTCTTTTTGATTTTAGAAAAACCTAATGCTAAAAACTCACTCCTTTTTCAGAATCATTTACTTGAAAGCCTACACGTGTCTCTAATTTTTTTCTCATTCAAACCCTCTGTTTAATTTCTTCGATCCATTTAATTTTCACACGTTAATTTATTGTCACATCTAAATTAAAATGTATCATGTACAACAAGTTGATTTTTTTTTTCTGAAAAAAAAGTTTGATTTTTTTTTTTTGGAAGATCAAAGGGAAAAAAAATTATTCCAATATTAAGTAAATCATAAAGATTAAATTGAAATCAAGCATCTACTCAACAAAGATTTAAAATCGAGCACAATGGAAGAAGGTAAACATAGTAAATATTTATATAATAATATATTAAAAGCTACATCAATTTCCTTTTTATTATTTAGGGAAAAAAGTTCAAATGGTAGGTTATTAACTACAATTCAAAAACAATCTCTCTTAAAAGGGCAAACTATTTAATTAATGTTTCTTATTCGGATAAACCAGCCCATTAACATGATAACTACAAATTATTAGAAGTTAAAGGCATAAATAACCTTTTGCAAAGATTCAAATTCTTGTCGATTCAAAAAATTATCGTAAAGGATAGAGTTAACACTCAATGCTTAAGTTAATTAGTACACTTACTTCATCAATACTCAAGAGAATATTGTTTCACGTCCCTTGTATGAGAGACATGGTTCTCTATTTATAGAGACGAGCTCCCAATAAGACTTCTGACCACCTAGTACTATAGTGTCGTGTCGAATAACATGTTTGTCACCTTTGCACCTACAGATACTTTTCAAGGTCGACTCATACCTAGTCTAGGTTGTTTGGCAGATAAGATATAGATAAGCTTGATTTATACCGAGTTGCTTAAACTTGTTTTACTAGAATCTTCTTATTTCATTATCCTAATCATCCTGACAGTCCATGATCTCTGATGTTGACACGTGGCAGATGATAAATCACCTCCAACAAAGTGTCTCTTTTAAGGGCAGAATAAATAACTAAAGTGTATTTTGATGTTGCATCAATTATTTTGTGAGTTAATTTTAAATTTTTGTGACAATAAAGATTCCATTATATTTTCAATAAAAAAATGAAGAAAAAGGAATAGTTACTAAATGTATAATGTTTTGTATTAAAAAAAAAGAATAATAAACAATAAACAAGAAGGTTACCAATAGAGTTACTATCCTACATTTATGGTAGCTATACTAATAGAGTCACTTCTCCTATTGATATTTTGATCTTCTTACTCCTCAATTTTGGTTGTTAATATGATCACATCAAAAAAGATAGTACAAGGGATGAAGATTTACAATTCTCTTAATTTCATCTCAAAGTCGTGGATAAATCTTGATATTTATTTTTCGTTTTCAGCTAGATTGTTACAAACTCCTAAGCAATGAAATTCCTCAACGCGATCTTGCGTGCAATCTAAGTATCGATCATAGAGTATTTGTTCATAATTAGCCAAAAGAAATTACTTTTTCTTCAACCAAAATATTTTTGGTCAATTCTTGGTTTCCATTGCATTCGCTGAATACTTTTTGTAATTGCTACCATCAAGACTCTCGAGTCTAATAGCATCCTTACTGTATGTATTATTCATATATTCAAAAAAATTCTCTACATTCTTGATTCAATCAACAAAGTTATCAACATCCATTCCGTCATTAAAATTTAGAGGCCCAAGTCCAGTGAAGCTCAAGGTCAGTGAAAAATAGTCTCCAAAAAAATAATTATTCCGAATGCCATTAAAAAATAATAATAAAATCATTCATATCTTTGTAGATAATTCTGAACTTCCAAATTTTGATTTAACCTATAGATAATGAACAATTCAAATATTTTGTTCACTACCTTTGAAATGAAGATTCCAATGGTAGACCAAGTAAGACGTTTGACAAAAATGGAAGAACTAAAATGAACATGCGAAATAGATAAATATTGAAAAGACTAAGCATAAGCCTTCAAAATTCTGAATTTCCATTGAATATTCAAGTCTCCAAACCAAAGTGTGCCACGCCATAGTTTCTGCAATCAAAATCTGAAAGAGAATTAAACAAATTGACTTGACCAACCACATTACAAATTTTGGATCAGTTGGCAATTTAAAATCTAATCTGGAAATCAAATCCCCTTTATTAAGATTTTGAAACCTATACATCTGGAAACTATAAATTGGGTTGAGCATCCAAACAGATTCGAGAAATCCCGAAACGATACAAAGGATTTTCAGTCTCCAAAACATCAGTCCTATTGTAGAGATTATAATATCAAGCATCCACAGAAAACTAATATTTATAAAGTTAGAATCTTACACAATAAATTGCCTTTTACACTTTTCAGAGAACTCGTTTGTTGCAAGTTGCAACTTCCAGAGTAGAGAGAATGTTCTGGCGAAACTTCAACAACCATGAACAGTTTTTATGCCACATTTTTGAAGAAAGAAACTTCTCTCGCAGAGAAGCTGGAACCTTGGGAATTAGTTCATGGGGCGGTGTGGGGATTTGACCCTCAGACATGGCAGCTTCCGTTATTTTTCTGGGGTTACAAAGAGCTCACGTATACCTTCTAATGAAAACATCAAATCAGAAACAATGCAGCATGATTATGCGAATTCAAAGCAATTATCAGGCAAAGGAATATTTTCATCTTGATAGCTATATTCAAGTCTTACACAAGAGTGTACAGGTTCTCGTTTACAAACTTTAAAATCAAGTAAGGTTGTTAAGTTATGAATAAGAAAGCGTATCACTTGTAGTTTTATTTTAGAACTTATATTTAAATATAAATTATATATGTGTAGCAATAGGAATTTGGAAAGAAACCCAAAGCCCATTATCCCTGTCTAAGGTCTTGTATGATAATCATTTAGTTGTATGTTTTCTGTTTATTAAAATTGAGCTTGTAAATACTACTTTCGCCCATGTATTGCTTTGTTTTGCTATCTATTTTTTAAAAATGCTTTCAAAATTTAAGCTAAATTTTGAAAACTATTGAAAGTACTTTTCAAAAACCTGTTTTTATTTTCCAAATTTGGCTAAGAATTCAAATATGTTTTTAAGAAAAGTGAAAACATACCAAGTAATTAAGAAACAAACCAGAATAAATTTCAAAAACAAAATGATTATCAAACGGGCCTAAATTATTAAATTTTGTTTAAGAAAAATGTAATTCTTGCCACAACACAATCCCACACCCCAAATTCAAGCCACCCATCCACCCACGTGTATGGTAAGACCCGTAAGTCTAGATCATTCCCTTTCGAAAGCTATCACCCTTAAACTATAACAAAACTTAGACTCAAGTTCCTCAACGACGCATCTTATTCCTTTCTTCTCTGCTTTCTTTTAACTTCCTTTTCCAATCAGCTTTGTCATGCCACATGCTTGTATTACATCTCCTTGGTTCCCTTCTTCCAGACTCCCAAGCACCTAAACTTGTGTGGCACTCTTCTCTAATTTCTTTAATT